ATCCAACTGTACGGTAAAGCTAAGATTTATTGGGGTGGACTGAACAATAAAAACATTTATAATTTTTTAATTTACAATTTACGATTTGATTTGATTTCTAAAATTTATGAAATGGAACAAACAAAAACCGTAAGCCGAAATTTTAAAGAACCCCAAATCAAACCCAACCTCAGATTTCAGTTTAGTTTGATTCAATTTAGATAGTATAATGAACACCCCTAACTTTGACTTCCTTCTTCCGTCAGTTACAAACATTTTTTCTTCTTGATGTTGCAAAGTCCTTAGAACCGTAATTGCATATTGATGAGGGTAGATTTGGCCCTCCAGTCACATCGTGACACATGGCATCTTGGAATAACTGGATGACACATGGACACCACCTAAGCGATGATTTGGAGTCCAAGATTGTAGTTCGTCTTTGCCTCGACGTGGCGACTTGCCTTTACTACCGACCTGGTGACCTTGACCACAACTTAGGTCGGCTTGCAGTACCTCGTCGAGGGATGACCTGTAGCACCTCGTCATCGGCCGAAGTGACCTTGACGCGAGGCATGATCTCCCTCAAGGGCTTGCCGACCTAACTAAGGACTAGGCGGTGACCTGCGAGTCGTGCTTGCCGACAAATTCGGCATGCATATCTCAACACTCCCAGGTTTCTCGAAAGTTGGCCCATGTACCAAATGTTTCAGAGGATAGTCAACATGCGTGGCGGTTAACTCTGAGGATTTCAGATCGGTTACACATGATCTCCCGGAAATCTCGGATGCGGTGCGTGAAGCCCATGCCAAATAATGCCTATAAAAAGACACTAACCCCAATGACACAGGGGACAGACGATTAAGTACATTCTAGCTCTCATACTTTCTGATTTTAAGTTCCCTATCTATTACAAGAATACTAACTTAAGCATCAGAGTGACCTCGCTGGGTTAGCCACCCTGGGTCCTCTGACACTGTTTCTTTGCAGGTCTCTTCAAAGAATTACCCAGCTCGGCACCTATGCAACCTCCTAATTCAATCCAGTCAATTCGGCATCCAAATCCTCATCCAACAAAAATACTCTAACTCAACCTCTGAATCATGAGACACTAAGGAGTAGTGAAAACAAGAGCGTGCTACCAAAAAGCGCTTCATCACATATGAAAAGAAAAATCGAGATGGAGCACCAAATCAAGTGGACCATCATTTAAATGCACTTTCGAGTTTCAAATCTCCAAGTTTCAACACGGACGACAAAAAGGACTCGCTCTCGTGTCTCTCTGTAATTTAAAAACTAACAAATTCAACGTGCAACAAAACGAAGCTTTGTTTTGAGTGGTGGGAGCATTTAAAAATTACAATGGCCTTCGAATGGATTGATGGGTTATCCTTGGCCATTGTATATTGAATGAATGATTACAATACTGACGAGTGTTCTTTCTTCTCAAATCAAAGGTCGTTACAGCTTTTTCTCGTTGCTTCTTTCTTTGGAAGATGCGGGAATCCTACTTGCCATAAAAATCCATCTATGCGTTCCTAGTTGGTAGATAAGGAGGGGGGGCTGGGCTATTGTCACTTGATGGGATAGAGATCGGCTTCCGTCAGGGTAAGTTCGAACAGGCAGGCTTTAACGATAACAATATAAAATAGGATTGAGATGTTTTGTATATATCTCAGTCCACAATTACAAATAATGTGCTGGCTCAACCCACAAGACTGTTTTCTTAATAAAAACCACGAAACTGCTTGTTTAAAATGTATTTGACTCGGTGGTAAATAGGATTATGGATTTTGTTTTGGATAATGCATTTCATAAATTTTTATTAGTTTTTTGTTATTATTAATCAATAAATCTACCTAGGATTGATTATTCCCTTTGAATTTTGATAAATTCCTCAACTTATTTCAACTGTGTAAGCCAATAAATATTTATAAAAGGATTTGAATTTCCTCTTCACAAAACCATCTTTTTCACGGCATCGGCCCCTTTCAGCTGTGCATTGAAAATATCTCTTTATGAATAAAAACATATGTTTTCAAAGCATGGCTGTAGTAAGGGGCCGTGAGGGCGGTTTTGTGAAGATCATATCTGAATTTTTTATGGGATGGACTCAACGATAAAAAGTAAAACCCACCAAAATAAAATCTGCTGAGACGTGGTTGCATCTGGACCGGATGACTGGGAAAGCACACCAACTTTTGAAATAAAAAAAAAAAAAAATCAATTGAATTTATTCTTCCGAAAGCTGCTGTATTGGCCTTGCCTTTCATGCTACCATTGTCGCTGAAGATTTTCCTCTGTAGCTCAAAAGTAAATAAATATATCAAAGCTAATAATGCTTTGAATGTTTTTGCAAAGATTGTGGGGTTAGAATTTATTTGATCTCAGTATCGGGGTTAGATCCTGCTCAGATTGCTTGCTTATTGTTTAGTAATTTAGTCTGGTTTTATTATTTACTTATTATTATTGGTTTCACTTTTATTTTGTCGGTTATACGGTTTAGGCCAGTAATATTCTTGCTTAATCTTATGATTATTTGTTCTTGGTATAGGTATATTTGTATGGGCATTAATAAAATTTTGTCATTCGGTAATTCAAAAAAAAAATACCTATTAACTAAAATTGGTACTTGAACGTCAAACATTTTAGGCAAGCCACCAAAGGGCGTTCAAAAACATTTTAAGTAAACCCATCATATTAACTAACTAGTAGGACTCGTGTGATGCATGAGCTTTTTAGGTAAAAGTGAAATAATATAAATGCATAAGAGTAGATATATTTTTATATTTTAACTTTTAAATAATTAATAATTGTTTATGCTTTATATACTACTTTTAATATTTTTTCTACAATATTGAAGTAACAACAATTAATTTCATCTAGATTAATAGTCTAATGTCTAAAAAATAACAATAATTTAATTCTCAATAATTATTGAAAAATTATAACGAAAATACATAATTATTGAAAATAAATTTATAATGACATAAAATGAAGACAATAATTACTAAAATAAAATAAATACTAAAAATATATTAAATTAATCAATGAATAGTATAATCTCCAATAATAGTTTAATTACTAATAAATATTGATCAATAAATTATAACAAAAATACATAAATACTGAAAAAATTATAAAAAAGATAAATAGATCCAATAAGTACAATAAATTAAATTTAAAAAAATTAAATAACAATAGTGTAATCTCCAATAATTATTGAAAATTTACTATTAAATAACAAAATAAAAATTGATTTATCTATAAATATTGAAAATATATTTATCACAAAAATACAAGAAATATTAATTTTAATATATACATATATAAACATATAATAGATATAGATGAATATTTTACAACTATTTATTAATAAATAGAAATTATAAATAATTTAAAAGAGAATAAAGGGGATAATGCCATGTGGTTAGACATTAAAAAAAAAACTCTCTTTCTTTATCTATTGGTTGTTTGTATTTGTACTATTTTCAAACTTAGCCTTGAAAAGAATACAAATATGTAGAGTGCAAAACTTTGTATTTTATATTATTTTGTATGCCGGTAAATGTTATCAAGGCTGCATTTGAAAACAATACAAATGGAGTGTAAATCACAGTTTAGGGTAAATTTGTACTTTGATTCACTTTTGCCTATGTTTGGCAATATTGTATTTATGCATTGACGAATAATAAAAAATACATTTTCCAATGCATATTTATATTGGTAATGAAATACAAAGTACATCAATAAAAAAGAAATAAATTTGCATTCAACTGAACCTTTAATAAAAAAAAAATATATACTTTATTGGAATTCATATTTATATCTATTATAATTAAAAGTCTATTTAATAAGAAGATAAATTTATCGTACAAAACTAACCCAATTTTATAATTTATATAAACTGTTTTACACACTACATATTTATATTCACACTTATTTGCATCGTTTCCAAACACAGCAAATCCAAAGCCCCTGTTCGGGAGTGATTATGAGGTAAATGTAACCAGAAGCTAAATCACATCGCTTGGTGCTTGGGCAGATTGGCGTGGTTGGTACGACTCTTTACTCTTTAGGTTTGGCTCATACGGCGAAGGTCTCATCCGGGGTCTTGTATATATCAGAAAAGCACAGGCATCTGGATGGTGAAACTGTGAAAGCCCCACAATAAGAAATATTCGAAGCAGCAGCGTCAAAGAATGGGCCCCATCCGTGTCGACCGACGCTTTCTGACATTCTGATCACATCGCTATTCGCTCTCCTCTCCTTTTTGGCATTGGAATTTCGACCTCGTAGCTTGTTCCTCCCAAAAGAGAAAGGAGGAATTTCATCACCATCATTCTTGTGTAATCACTAATCAGACGTTCAAATAAAGGTAGAAACTATAAAGAATGGTGGCAGCATCAACACAGGTCTCATTCTCGCCCTTCTTACATCACATTAGAACAGTCTCGGATGATGCCAAGCCACCTACCATTGCTATCTCATCTGATGCACAGTCTACCTTTTAAAAACTTCAGAGATTCGTTCTTGATTTGCGGAACAGCAACTGTGCGGTGTCAGCCGTCGTCCATTAATGAATTTGATAATTTTATAAATAAACAGAGAGAGAGAACTACCCAATTCGTCAATTTTTACTTTTTCAGTCTGTAACCTTTTGGTTGGCCTTTGGCCTGGCCAGGTTTGACGTGAATAAAAATCAATGTTTTCAGGTTCGTGTTTAAACCACACGCCTGACCAACTTCCATTGAATACGAAAGTAGAAGTCAATGAGAGAGTATCACTTTTTATCTCTCAAACCGTTGATTTTTTTTAGGTGTTTGGGCTTGAGGTAAGAAATACGTCATTTATTGTACTACAAATTACTAATTGAGTTGTACTTTCATCACTTGTAAGTCCGGAGTACATGTAAATTACCAGAAAAATTAAAGGTAAGGAGTACATGCTTTTATCGTCCGAGTCTCGGCATGTTTTCTTCTTGGAGTTTTTTCTTACTGTTGCTGTCTTTATTGATTATTAATTATATATATTCAGTTCCATCGCTGCCAACCGAATACGTGTTGATTTGTGTTTTCCTGAGGGAATCTGGAAGACTGGTTGCCAGTTTTTACAGTAGACTGATCAAGAAGAAGAGAGGCCAAACTCTGAAATTTTTCCTCGGGAGTTTGGCTCCACTTATCTAAGAAAATAAAGACCTACCCCAGATTGAATGAGGTTTTTTCTGGGGTGAGGGAACCTGATAAATTCGGTTTTTAATAAGGTAAAGACCCTGTTCTGTGTTCTCACTGTTAACGCAATCCTGTGCAGAAGATCTAGAATAGTAGAGGAGCAGAAGCAGCAGGAGATAAACAACTGTATCCAGGTAATTAGCTCATGCATGAATACGTTGTTCCGAAATTTATGCATTTTCCATCACTTCTCTGACCAAATATTGGAATTTCAGATGGGGTTCTCTGATGAATGAAGACGTACTGCTCAAGGAGGAACGAAACAATTCAATTAGAAGCCATGGATACGGAAGAACCGAAAGAGAAGAAAGAGATGGAGGGGCTGAATTTGGAAGAGCTGCAGGAAGAAGCGGCGGAGGAGTGGAAGAGAGTTCCGCCATGGACTAGGCAGATTACATTACGCGGACTTATCGCGAGCTTCGTGATCGGGGTCATCTACAGCGTCATAGCAATGAAGCTCAACCTCACCACCGGCCTCGTTCCTAACCTCAATGTCTCTGCTGCGCTTCTCGCTTTCGTTTTCATACGGTCATGGACGAAGCTGCTTCAGAAGGCTGGAATCGTTTCCACCCCTTTCACGCGGCAGGAGAACACCGTAATCCAGACTTGCGCAGTTGCATGTTACAGCATTTCTTTAGGAGGTGGATGCTCTGATCTAAAAAAAAAAGAAAAAAAAAAATTGTCACTTCAATGTTCAATCTATCCATTTTCGTTCTCCCTTTCTGTTTATCAGTTTCAAATTATATTGTCGTTTATATGGTAGGTGGTTTCGGGTCTTATCTTTTGGGATTGAATAAGAAGACATACGAACAGGCAGGGGTTGATACAGCAGGAAACGCTCCAGGAAGCTACAAGGAACCCGGCCTTGGTTGGATGATTGGTTTTCTTTTTGTAGTTAGCTTCGTTGGACTTTTGGCCTTGGTTCCTCTCAGAAAGGTATATTCTCTGTTCTTTGTCTGATCTGTTTATTTTATTGTATTTTTGGCAAAAACATTGTCTGATCTGTTTATTACACGGTTGGGAGGGCCTCCTTTCTGTTCTGTCTAATAATCCGAAAATGGGTCTTTATGGGGTGAATCACTTGGGGCTAAAAGGATATTGATTTTATACTTTTACAGTTTACTTCGATGGTCATTTCTCTGTTCTTCTCTGGAGTAACTCTCTTCTCTGCTTCTGAACTTTTCGGCTGCAACTTTGCAAGTTGGGTTGGGCTCCACTTATTTGTAATTAGATTTCCTGTTGATTACCTTAAATTTACTCTGATTCAGAACTAAAACTTTTAATGGGTGATCGGTGCCTAATATTATTTCTAACTTATATGAAAGCTTTTTTTTTTTTTTTAAATGGGGTTCTGAAATTTATCTTGGTCAGTCTAGTTGTTTAAAGCGCCATTTTTTGGTAATAGTTTGTTTACAGCATCAATCAAATGCAAAATCACTGGAGTTGTGGGTCACTGTGGAATAGTTCTATATCTGTAATAAGTGTTTCTTTTCTGGTCTGAAGACGTGAACATAAAATTAACTGTATTTATTCCACAGATCATGATAATTGACTATAAGTTAACCTACCCAAGCGGTACTGCAACTGCTGTTCTTATCAATGGTTTCCACACTTCTCGGGGAGACAAGATGGCTAAGTACTAATTTACTTTCCCCAGTTCCCTTCTCTTCAGAATCAAAATCCATATATAAACTTGGTTTAAAAAGAGTTCTAATCTTCCATGCAGAAAGCAAGTCCGAGGTTTTTTGAAGTTCTTTTCAATGAGTTTCCTTTGGGGATTCTTCCAGTGGTTCTACTCTGGGGGGGAGCAATGTGGATTCTCACAGTTCCCTACTTTCGGATTGAAAGCATGGAAGCAAACGTGTGTACTCTTCTCCATTGTGTTCTACCTTTGTGACTTGTACTTGTGAATCATCCTTTCCAGATCGCTGACTTATTATTGGATCTTACAGATTCTTCTTTGATTATAGCATGACCTACGTTGGAGCAGGGATGATCTGTTCACATGTTGTGAACTTTTCTCTGATTTTGGGAGCAGTGCTCTCCTGGGGGATAATGTGGCCACTGATAAGTGGGCTTAAAGGAGACTGGTTCCCCATGACTTTGCCAGAAAGCAGCATGAAGAGTTTGAACGGTTACAAGGTTTGTGAGTCAGATATCTGCTTTCAAATTTCTCTCACTGATGTTTGCTTATGCCATATACAGAAGACCATGGTCTTACTATTTGCAAACGTCTTGGGCAGGTTTTCATCTCCATTTCTCTCATTCTTGGAGATGGGCTCTACAATTTTCTCAAGATACTGCTTTTCACCATAAGGAGTATTCATGACAGGATGAACAAAAGGAACTTGAACACAGGTAGATAGGACAAAAAATAGGATCATTTTTTGCTGCATTGCCATTCATATTTTGTGGGAGAACCCTAGTTCTCTCATTTAACCCTATATATAACATGCAAAGAGAACCTGCCTAATATCCAAGATCCAACTAGTTGATGTCTAGTTGCCTATCTGATTCGTGTTGTACAGACTTCAGAATCCAAGCTGGACACAGGACCTGGCTACTGAGCAAATCCCGTTGCTGGGAATAGGGCCTCGTGGCTTAGCTAAATGCTAAGTTGCTTTAGCCATGATGGACTGCAATTAGTCCAGCTCAGGCTTCAGCAGATGCTAGATAGCCTTGGCCTTATCCAAACTCAAATGAATTGGCAGCCTATCAAAATGGCTCATCTACCTGTAATTTTTAAAACATGGGTTTGCTAATTTATTGTTTTTTCATCTTCAGCTGCAGATCAGAGTAGTAAGTCACTGGATGAGCTTCAAAGAAACGAACTATTTGTGAGGGAAAGAATTCCTCTATGGGTCGCTTGTGTGGGATATGCCTTTTTGTCCATCATCTCCATCATTATAATCCCACTGATGTTTCCTCAGGTGAAATGGTACTATGTTGTAGTAGCCTACATACTTGCTCCATCTCTTGGCTTCTGCAACGCTTACGGTGCTGGTCTAACGGACATGAATATGGCCTATAACTATGGGAAAGTGGCCCTTTTTGTGATTGCCGCTGTAGCTGGAAAAGACTCTGGTGTGGTAGCGGGCCTTGTGGGATGTGGCCTGATTAAATCCATTGTTTCCATCTCCTCTGATCTGATGCATGACTTAAAATCTGCTCATCTCACTCACACCTCTCCTCGCTCAATGCTCCTAAGCCAAGCTGTTGGAACTGCCATGGGCTGTGTGGTTGCTCCTCTTACCTTCTTTCTGTTCTACAAAGCTTTCGATGTAGGCAATCCTGATGGGGAGTTCAAAGCCCCATATGCCATAATTTACCGAAATATGGCAATTCTTGGTGTTGAGGGCTTCTCTGCATTGCCCCGACATTGCTTGCAGCTTTGTTATGGCTTCTTTTCCTTTGCAGTTGGGCTCAATTTAGTGAGGGACCTATCCCCACCGAAGTATGGGAGGTTGGTTCCATTACCAATGGCCATGGCAGTGCCTTTTCTAGTTGGGGCCTACTTTGCGATTGATATGTGTGTTGGGAGCTTAATTGTGTTTGCATGGCACAAGCTCAATAGCAAGAAGGCTAGTTTGATGGTCCCTGCAGTTGCCTCTGGTTTGATCTGTGGGGAGGGGTTGTGGATCCTCCCTTCATCTATTCTTGCTTTAGCCAAGGTTAAATCTCCCATCTGCATGAAATTCTTGGCAACTTAGTGCAGGAATTCTCAAGAGGAAATTTTACGTAATAGTGAAGGAACGACAACAAGGAGAAAAAATTGCTTACTGCAAGTTCTAGTTTCAAAGTGCAGCACTGTGTCGGATATATTGTAGTTCAAGATAATTAGTATATCTGCAAAATGAAAATGGGGAGATGATCCCCTTCTCTTTTACTTTTTCTCTAAATGTAATTCAGAAAAAAAAATGTAGATGTCAAATTGTAAGCTAAAGCTGAGAGTTACGGTTTGTCCTTGTAAGAGCACATGTAGGAGAAAAGAACTGATTACTCATATGGTGCATAGGACACAACACACTACTCACTAAGCTGAAAGTGTACGATTTATGAACTTATCAATATGTGGATGATCAAACCCACCATTCAATGGATTAGTCCTGATCTCTTGTTCCTATATTTTGCCACATGGCAAGTTATGAGGGTCAAAGACCATTCTGGATTCACGTGACAGTCTGTATTTACACGCTTGAAGGTGCATTCTTATTGGGGATCCAGCAATGGATATAATTCATTGGTAACCAGTAGATCCAGGCTCCGTTCAAGCATTCTAGGTCACTGAGTCTAAGGGGTACAGATACAAATATGTTGAGTGCAAAACTATGTATTTTGTATGTATTTGTACTTTTGATATTTGTATTTGTACTCCTTCCAGTTTAACGTGAATATTATGAACCTTATATATAGTGAATACTAAATAACATAGAAGACATCAAGGACTTAGCTACCCACGATGAATTGCTCTCCTTGTAAGTCCATAAAACCTTGTTGTCAAAATCACCTGAAACCTTGGAATTATCAAGAACAACAGTCAGTATAGGAAACATATATTACCTATCCTCTATTCATGTTTCTATTATTAGCTAAACTTGTCACCACGTGAACTGGAAAACTGAGTACACACAGTTCCTTGGTTTATGGAACAGGCCACAATCAATTGGGGACGTAGAAATGAAGAGATTTCTAGGTGTCATTAAGGCTCAGATTGAAAGGAGTATAAATAAAAATATGTAGAGTGCAAAACCTTGTATTTTGTATTATTTTGTATCTGTACTATTTTCAAACTGAGCCGAAGTATTTTCTCAGAGAGCTTTTTCCCCCAACATACTATCTTACCACATAACAAACCATGCACTCGACTATGCCACATCAAATAAAACCTGATTCCTGGCCAAAAGGATAAGAAAGAGGATTTTGGTAATGAAAGATCTTGACTTTCCAAAGAATTAAATAACCAAATTTGGCTGGAAATAAAGGAAAAAGGGGACAATCAACGCTAAATTACAACTTAGAAGAAATCAGAATTCCTTGAAAGAAGTCCTTGAAAGAAGTATATATATTGAGCACCCTATTACCTGACAGCCATGATCTTATGGAATAGGATGTTTGAGAAATAAAAACATATCTATAGAATCAAAGCAGTGAGTGACTAGTGACTATATTGCAGTCAGTGACTAGTGATTTGGTGCAAAACATAAAGGCTGTAAAAAGACAAAGGAGATGTAAGAAAGAAAACGTACTGAAGAAGTGAAAATACAAGTAATGACTTCACAAAGGCATATGGCTTCTTTCTACTCCCCTTGTGATGGCTACTCAAACTCTAGTCATGAGATCCATTGAGGAAGAAGCCAGTGGTGGAGGACTAGACCAAGGATGAATGATGGAATCATCTTTGGGCATCGAAATTTTGAACAAGGCATAGAGATTTCAGGTGAAGAGGTCACTCATGTTTTGCAGGGAGAAGAGGAGGTAATAAAGGGATGGTGATCAAGACTTAAGATTGGAAATCTATTCACCATTCTGGCCACCAGTTTTCAGGTCGATGGTTGACTGTCCGGTTTGAATAGATGGCCCGTTTTGACAAAAATAAATAAAAACGGTCAAAAACCATTGGACGGGTTGACGTTTCGACTACCTGGGTTAATGAGTCGTTGACCAATTCAACAGTTTTGGCCAGGGACTGGGTTTAGGGTAAAACAGAACTGATTGCCTGGATTGTTTCAGGTCCAAATGGTTCAACCGTCCCTATCAACAGGTGTCAGAAAACCTTGGTTCAAAGTGTTAGAAGCCAGTTTCCCATGATTGGTGTCTCTCTCGTCTTGGTAAACTTCCCCAGGGATCAGTTTATAATAAATTGTTATAGTAGATTTGATGGTGAAACCATGGGATCTTATCATCTTATGGTGTAGTTGTTCATTATAATTCTGGTTATTTTATTGTAGCTACAAGGGGCAGCATCTCTATTGGAGGTAGAGTTTTTGAATTAAATATGGTCACTCTTAGGTTGTGTTTGGTTTGAAGGAAAAAATAGGGAAAGGAAGGGAAAGGTAGGAAAACCTTTACAAACCTTACATAGGTTTCCCCACCTTTCCCTTCCTTTCTCAATCTTTTCCGTCAAACCAAACATACCCTTAAAGCAACAGTGGAAGTCAAGGTTCTGGGATTCCTAAGTTGATTGTGGGGTCATACTTTTTGGTCACCATTCAGGGTCCATTTGGTTTGCAGTTGAAATCGGAATTGAAATCCCTCATAATTGGAATCAAAATCAGAATCGTCTATTCCCATAGTCTGATTGGTTCAGACAAGAATGGGAATGAGAATTAAAATCAGCAAAAATGGAATTTCATTCCCAAGAAAGGGGCAGAGAACGACCATTCCCTCAAATGGGAGAATGTCATTCCAATAGGAATGGGAATGGGATTCTGATTCCACCTAACCAAACTGTTGAAATCGAAATATCCCATTCTGATTCTGATTTCAGACCCCTATTCTTGCAAACCAAACGGGGTCTCAAGCTTTTATCAAATTATATATCCTGAGATCTTCAATCGGCTTTAGATGATATCTTAGATAGTTGTAGATTAGTTGTAAATCTTGTGAGGCTTGTAAATTCCATTATCTAAGGGGGTGTTTGCCAATATTGTACGATTATTTTGTTTCTCAAGAAAAAAAAAAGAAAGAAAGAACAAAAAACAAAAACTATATTCATCATCCAAGCATACTTGCTACGTATTATCTTATTGATCAATGCCCAATAAGCACTATAGAGATGCAACGTGAAAGCATTGATTATACTAGGCAGCCAAAATCATCACCATCATCATCTAGGTCTTATCTGGCCATATGGGGTTAGATACATGAATCCTGTTTTGCCATTCTGTTCTATTTACTGCCATATTCATTCTTGAATTATAAGTACTTAAAATCATTTCTTACTTTAACCTATGTCCTTAATGGTCTGCCCTTAACCCTTCAAGTCCCTTCAACTTATAACAAATTGCTTCTTTTATGGGTGCTATAAGTGATTTTTTATGCACAAAACAAACCATCTTTAGGGTGCTCATAAAAAACTGAAAACCCAAACCAAACTGAGAAAACTGAAAAAAAAGTGCAGTTTACATATATTATAAATATAAAAACTGAAAATCAAAGAATCAAACTGGTCAAAAACCAAAAGTGGTCAGCCTTTAGCTCGAGCCTAACCTTTATTTTTGGGTTGGGCTTGGGCTTGGGCCTAACCTTTAGCTTGAGCCTAGCCCAACCTGAGACTGGTCCAACGATACACATACATATATGCGTATATAAATGCATACTTTTATATGTGATTAGTAATTAAGTACATGTGTTGCACATGATATATTTTTTTCACAATAACTTGAATTTTAGATATATCATAGTTAAGATAGAAATTGAAAATTAACAAAAGTAACAATATGATTAAAGATAAACTTAAATACTTATTATTCAATTATGACATCATGGGTTTCTTTGAAAAGATGAATCATTGACCCACCATCTAGATAAGAAAATAGCTTTGCTTTTTGGATTAGTTTTAAATTAAGGAAAATTATAATTGGGGCTGACTGTACATTTAAAATTAGGCTACAAGTTGGTCCATAAACCAATAAAATTCTGACAACCGACTTTACATTTCAAATTACAAAAACCATCGCCATGTCATTAGAGGCTTATGTGGTTGTTACCAACATGGAACTCTTAATACATATTGGACACAACAAAAAAAACTTATACTGAAATTGCCCTTTAATGTTAAATGATTGGAAAATTAAAAAAAAAAAAGAGTTTTTAGTCCCTCTCTCTCTCTCTCTCTCTCTCTCTCTCACACACACACACACACGCACATGCACACACAAACATTCACATTCATCTTTATATACTCAAAGACTGTGATTTGAAAATAAATAAAAATGGTTTTCGATTTCTGTATTTACGTTCTCTATATCAATTTATCTCGTTCTCTCTCTACCTATTAATCTCCCTCATTCTCTTTCTCGGTCAATCTCTCATTCTCCCTTAATTTCTATCGTTCTTCCTTAGATTCTCTCCTGCTCCCTCTCTCATGTTTTTATTTCTTACACACTTATATCGTATTAATCAGATCGTATAAAAGAACATGAGACCAACTTGGTATGGTTCAAAAATCATTACACCAATTTGATAAAAATTCACAAGAAACTCTTGGCTATAAAATTTACACCAATTGGAGAATGATAGATATCAAGGCAAAATGAGATATTGAACAAGAGGGAGAAGAATTACGATATATATGTATGTATGTATGTATGTATGTATGTATGTATGTATGTATGTATGTATGTATGTATGTATGTATGTATGTATGTATGTATGTATGTATAGATAGAGAGAGAGAGAGAGAAAGAGAGATTTTGATTTAGATACAAACCAAAGCTAAGAGAGTGGAAGATCGAGAGATAACTGTGAGAGTTAGAGAGAAGGGAGGGGGATCAAAAGACAAAGGGAGTGGGAGAGAAACTGAAAACGTATTTTCAGTATAAGCTTTTTGATGTGTCCAACATGGACTAAGAGTCCTATATTGGCAACAACCACATAAGCCTTCGGTAACATGGCAAGGCTTTTCATAATTTGGAATGTAGAGTGAGTTTTTAGAGTTTTGTTAGTTTCTGGACCAACCTACAACATAATTTTAAATGTACAACCCAACTTTGACTATAATTTTCCGTTTAAATTATATATTTAACTTACATTATATAAAATATTGTTTACTTATCACACTTAATTTTTGTTTGTCTGTGGTATCACTTGACTCAAACCACTAACCTAAAATGAAAAATAGTTTGATTTCTAGGTTGACATTAAATTTTGAATTACATCTCCATCATTGATAAAATTATTTCTTATGTATAAAACATGTTTTTGTTCAATGTAATGAATGCATAATATTAGAGATTTACCCAATATTTTATTTTTTTATAAATATATAACATTATATATGTGTCCAAAATTTTCACTATCTTTTTTTTTTATTTTTGTGATTCTTTGTATTTTCTATTATTAAAAATTTTATTATTTGACTATGACATCATTTCATTTCTAGGTA